AGTCCTGCTCCGCAGTCACCTGGGTTAGGAACATCTGGGCAACACATTACCTCCACGATTTGCCACGTAACAGAGCTTGAATTCACATATATAAATTCATGGTCTTAATCTATGGGCCCAGAGACTAGGCTACCAGAAATCATAAAACATTAGGAAGATTAGCTATTAAAATTGAGAAAGCTAACAAAAATAAGGGCAAAGTTACAGAGGCAAGGAATTGGTGGGTGGAAGGGAAAGGAGGGGGAAAAAAAGAGCTAGAGGATATTTGAGAGCTCAGTATCTACCTCTAAATTTCTGAGGGAAAAGAAAGTAAATTTTTAAGTCACTAGAAATACTTCATGAGTGCTTCCGAATATTTCAATAAATTACAGATATTTAAAATTAAAATAAAACTCTCATTCTACTGTCACCTACAAATAAATTTATAAAGGATAAAAAACCAACTCACCTGCCTGTCGTACCGGGAATTCCACATGGTCAGAGACTATAATCCGAAGTAAACTGGGGGCAAAATTGATAATCTTGTAGGACTGAAATTACAAAGAAATGTTTTATAAAATAGTGCAATATAAGTGAGTAGCTTATAAGTTAGCACCAGTTACTGAATACATTACTGTCCAAATAGAAGAAAAACTTTTAAACTGAGACAAACCCTTCAAGGCAAAATGAAGATTACTAAAATACTTCAAGTCAAAAAATTTTCCTGAGCAGAAACTGAGGAATAAAAGAATATGAACACTTTTATGATTTTTTTTAACATATTGTCAGAATGGTCTCCAGAAGGAGTATACCAATTTACGCTCCCAACAGCAGCATATGATAATGTCCATCTATCTAACACAGGTATCATCATCCCTTTGAAACTTTAATGTTTTATTAATATTCTCAATTGCATTTTCTCTATTACTAAGGAGGTTAGATGTTTCCCTCTTTGTTGGCTGTTTTTTCTACAAATTCCTTACTCCCTTTATCTTTTTGTAAATGGAGTATTTGCTTTATTCTTAAGAAATGCTAAGAGCTATTTATGAATTTAAAATCTCAATCTTTTATTTGACCTATACACGGCAAGTATTTCTTCCTAGATCATTTGTGCTTCAATTTTGTTTATGGTATTTTTGACAAACAGAAAACAAAAAAACAAAGGCTACAGGAAATAGGAGACCTAATAGAACAAAACAGAGTAGATAATGTTACATAGTTGAGCATGAGCAATGGAGAGAAGCCAGTCCAGATTGGAACAGTGTGACTCACGAGACGGTGTTGAGCGCTCCGTCATCACCAGCTGCCCTCTACTGTTGTACTATCTTTTAAACTTAATGCCTAAGTGAGTCTGTGGGGATGAAGTTCCTGCTCTGCCCTGTGGCCTGAGTCACTTCACCCCACAGGTGTGCTCTACTTTGATCTGCTCCTGAGTTTGGGACCTTCAAAGCAAAAAAAATGCAGAGCATCCACTCCTTCTGATCACATTATATCCAGATGTACAGTACCTGGACTATATTACAGTCCTGTCACATTCCAGAGTCCACATATGCCTTTGTCCACTGACATTCATTTGAAAAGACTCAAATTCCAGTGAGGCCAAACCAGACAATGGCCCAGAGAGTCTGTTTAGCCCACCCCTCTCCTCAGAGCCTGGATCTACAGGGGCATCCCTTTCAATACACAGCTAGGTTTGGGCATACTACTCATTTTTTAAATTAGGATAGCATCTATGAAGGTAAATGTTTGATTACAAAATTCATTTGGAGACAACTGGCATTTTTAAAGTATTAATCCTTTTCATCCAAGAACATTGTGCTTTTCAAATCTTTCTATATCCTTCAAAAACATTTGAATGATAATTGTTCTTCCTTTCATCCTGTGTAGTCTTCAGATCTCAAATCTGTGGCATGCAAATTCTTTTTTATCCATAATTCAAACCATCAGAATTTTAAAGCAGTTTTTAAGAAAACAGATTTGTTCCAACAACAGTTGATAGGAGGCAAAATTCATACAGATTCACCCAGCCTTCACCTTCTACATATGCATTATAACTCATGTTTACAACTTTCTAAATACTGAAAGATCTTGTCATGAATCTAAGATTAAAACATCTATATAGTTTATTCTAATCATAAAAAAACTGACTTCCGTTATTTGTTTAAAAATCTTATTCCACACATACAAAATAACCTTTACTCCTAAATAAATGCTACTTATTTGAAAGTAATATACCTATTGCAGAGCCTACTTTTATTTCAACACTGTTACCATTGTACATATTTTGAAACTCCCCTTTTTGCAACTGTCTGCCATTTTTTAAAATGTCAGAAACCTTGTCTTCTTTCAGCATTGATTCATTCTATGTTAGCTTGGCCAGCTAAAACATTCAGAGATAAAATCAGATATATTTTCATACTACTTTACTCAGAAATAGTTACCCAATTTCTTTGTGCCTCTTCAGGCTTCGAGTTTCTAAAAAATAAACAAGACTAATTTCTCAATGATTTCCTGAGGATATTTTGTATCTGTGAAGTTTTCTGCAAATAAGCAGTTTGCTTAACTAAATGCTGCATTTATGAGAACTCAAAGCAAAAAACTGATGTCTCCTCCCATCCTCTGACTCACTGCTCTGCTACATTAACCTTTCTAGTCCTCCAGCACGCCAAGTTGAGGGCCTTTTCTGAACCGTTGTTCCTCTCAGTTCTTTGCCTGGCCCATTCCTTCACAACATCCAACTCTCTACTCAATGCCATTCTTCAGAGAATGGCTATACATCCCAACACTCCTGCTTGGGCTTTACAGCACTTATGACCTGAAATTATATAAGTTACTTGTCTGTATCCCCAGCTCCATGGGAACAAACTCTTATACCAATATCTGCAATATATTAACTCAATAAATATATCTGTGCTATTATATAAACAAATTATCTTAATAAAGGGTAATGCAAATGGCATGTACACATGCATGGAAAGCAGATATTCCAAAGCTTGGCGATGAAAGTAAAAACTCATTTCCCTACCGAGGCCATGGGAAGGATAATTTATTAAAAGACGACACCTTTCTGGATGAATTACTTCAGCAAGGTACCTACCCATTCCTATTCCTCTATGCTGCCACTAATGGGACTTCTGGTCTATAGAAAATGAGAAAGACGTAAAGGGTTCACTCTTAATATCCTGAGATAAAACTAAAACTACATTTTCCCATAGAAACAATATCACAAATAGCAGTCAGAAAACTAGTCACTAGTAACAGAAAAATGCTGGCCTGAAAAAAATATATAGCTCCAAATGAGAATTTATCCATTGGAACACAGCCTATTGTGCAGAAGCTGCTTACTTTTCTAAATGGCAATTGACAGATCCATCAGTATACGGCGGAAGCTGCTCCCATTCCCTATGCAGAGCATACTGCTAAGGGGAGATCTAGACTAAAGTCAAAGAGGTGGACCGTAACCACTTATGGTGATTTACCCACCCATTTATCCAACAAAGTCGGATGTTACAGTGGTGGCAAAGGACAAGCATGCAAAACCCATCATTATAAGCATGTTTTACTACATGGTTAGGTGACATTATATTTTGTTCTACTTACAGCCAATTCAAAAAACCTTAAAGCATTTCACTATGCTTTATGTAAAATATAAATGCTGAAAGAGTGTTATAGCAATAAGCTACCTTTAGAAATTGCTGGGGAAATCACGGTCTGTGATGAGGTGGGACACTATGGGGCAGGGCAGAGTGATGATGGAATGGATTTGGACTGAACTACCATCAAGAGTCTATGGCCATACCACCCTGAATGTGCCTGCTTTTGTCTGAAATACCATGGAAAAAAAATAGGACTGGGTCTTAAATGTTTCCTAGTTCTGCCGGCTTTCTAAGGTACTTTTTCCACTTCTATAACATCAACTGTACTTATATACTGATGAATCAGAAAGAAATGAAGGTTAGGTGAAGGACAGGGAAGTGTAACCTGATATCAAAGGAACACCTGGCCTCATTGTGAGAAGGGGGTCATAAACAGGCCAACTCCCCTGTTCATACTAGTAGACTGCAAATTCAGCTCGTTTTGTTCTTCCTAACTAACCCCTGGATTACTATTCTTCCAGCCAGCCAACATACAGTACTTTTACTCTGCAAAGTCTGTGACAGGTACTGACTTTAACTTCCCGCTATTCTAAGTGACAGTCCATTTCTTTTTAAGGTACCAATACATCATCTTAGGGCATTAGTTCAACCCAGCCTCCTCTCCATTGGCAGTGTTTTCACTCTCCTTTTTATCTATGGGGAATCCTGCATTCACACCTACTCCAAACTCCACCTAGATTACCTATTAAAATAATCCCTTTCAAAGATTCCCAACATGCAGCTGCCTTTTAAAGTCAATTCCAACAGAAACATTTACTTAGGACAATCACACTGTAGTCACACTTCCGGAGGCACAGAATCACCTGGAGGAGCTAGTTAAAATACAACTGGCCCCACCCCCACAGTTTCTGATTCTTTAAGTCTGGACTGAAGCCCCATAATTTGCATAATTTGTAAGTTCTCAGGTGATGCTGAAGCTCCAGGTCCTGGGCAACTCTTTGAGAACGCTGATTTTGGAATATTTACATTTTACAGGTTATCACAACCTAAAACAGCTATTGCTCCATCCCAGGGGTAGCTCTTAATTCCTACTTTTTAGTAAGGGGTCTATGATTCTCAAGTACCGGTAGGGAAGAAGAGATAAGCTAGAGTTTGGGGTCATTAAAATTTTGAAGTGTGGGGGTAACGCTGGAAAAACGTCAAGGCTAATCAGGAAGAACAAGAGACGGAGGAAAAAAGAAAAGTCTTACACATTTTAGCATTTATAAGAAATTTCTCCATACACATCTTGGTTTAATGTGTCTTAGATAAAGCAGTACCACCATGAAAACTGCCTATTCTCCCCAGAGCACTCTCCCAACAGCACTGCCCAGCGCTCCGCAAAACTCGGCCAATCAGTGTCAAAACAGTCCTGCCAACCCGACAGGAGGAGGCGGTGGGCAGAGTGCTCCACAGCAACACCTAAAAAGGGCTGGGTTTGGAGAAAAGATGAACTCAGATTTGAATTGTAAGTAAAATTCCCACCTGCTCCCCAAGTCAGCGCACTTAAGGAAAAGAAATCACATCCTGAAAACACTAGCACAGGTTGCAAAAACTGCTTCTTGCGGACCAAGTGGGCTGAACAAACTGCACTGGAGAAGGAAGACGACACGAAAAGGTGCAAAGGTGGCCAACAGGTGCGCGAGCTGCTCCGCAAAGATCCTGGGAGCCCTGCTCCACTGGACCGGGGGGGTCAGTGGGGGCGGAGGGCGGGACCCGCCGTGAGGCGTCAGCCCCAGCCTGGTGGGGGTGAGGACGAGGGGCGCCGGGGAGGGGGAGCCCGGCCAGCCGGCAGGGGCGCCGCTCAGGCGGAAGAGGGGCGCCGAAGGCCCTCTCCTCACCTGGTTGAGTTCGTTCTCGGCTGCAATCCGCAACTTCGGGTCGATGGTGCCCTTCAGCGCCTGGATGATCCGGTTGAGGTCCATCTCCCCGGGTGGGGGCTCCGCGGCCCCCGGACCAGTAGGCCGGACTGCAGCTTTAGTTTTCTTTTGACCCTCTCAGCCTCCTCTTCCGCGACCCCTGGATTACCTCACACCCCAATCCCCGCCACCGTCGCCACCTGCGGCCACTTGCTGCGCCACTCTGACTCCGCGCCCCCTGTCCTCCCTTTTTCCCCCCCACAACTCGCTCTCCATTCACCCTTTTACGACAGCCGGTGGGAGGCGGGAGAAGGAAGAAGAGGAAGCAGAGCTTCCTTTACGGCGGCCTCTTCCCCCTGGCGTGATGGTATGACCGCCTTCCCTTGGCGGCCGCCATGCTGCTGTACGGAAAGCGGCCTCGGCTTCTTTCCCGAGGAAGAACCTGCGCTCCCGAACTCAGGCAGGCGGCCGCCATGCTTCCGTACTATTAGCAGCCTCCCGCCTCTTCCCAGATGAGGAAACTTGAGCTGGCCGGGAGTCTCCTTACAGCTGCTTCCAAATTAAGCATATCTGGATGGTGTGACACTTTTTGTTAGTCCGAGAACTGTATGGGCATCGCAACTGGGCCTGTTTCAAGACAGACTTGTTGGAACCTTCAAATCATGTACCTTACAGGTGAGCAGGGTTCCTCCGTGTGTGGGAGTCATCATTCATTCATTCGCTTTCACTGAACATTTGTTAAACATTTATTTTTGAACCAGAGTACTAGGATTTTTAGGTACCACATTATAACAAGATGAATTCCATGCAAGTTAATGTGAAGGAACTCACAACCTGAGAGATGAGACAAATATAAACAAAAAAAATTTACAGTGTAGAAATGATAGGGGAGTGCTGGGAATAGAAGAGCGTGGTCCCTTTAAATAATAGGGATGGGGGAAGTGAAGTGCTGGGTAGAGGAGAGTGTGGTCCCTGGCTAGGTTTCCACCCCCACCGACCTAGGTGAGGACTGGCACTCCAGCCTTCGGGCCCAAATGTTGCATTTCCCAAGACCACCCTGGCCTGCCACTCCCCCATCCTGTGCCTATGAAAACCCCAGACCCTAGCAGGCAGGCACACAGGCAGCCAGACGTCCAGAGGAGCATAAGGGTGGAAGAAGAGGAGCTCGCTGGCACATTCGCAGACCATCCACGGGCAGAACGATGCGGAGTTTGGCCCGGGCTGTCGGAAAAGAGCCCGAGGAAAACCATTTCCTTTCTGGGCCCCTCATCTGCTGAGAGCTACTTCCACTCAATAAAACTTTGCACTCATTCTCCAAGCCCACGTGTGATCCAATTCTTCTGGTATACCAAGGCAAGAACCCAGGCTACATAAAGCTTGCTGTCCTTGCGACAAGGTAGAAGGTCTAATAGAGCTGGTTAACACAAGCTCCCTCTAGACAAACTAAAAGAGCAGCCTGTAACACACACCCACTGGGGCTTCAGGAGCTGTAAACATTCACCCGTAGACACTGCCAAGGGGTCGGAGCTCCACAGCCTTCCCGTCTGTATGTGCCTCTAGAGGTCTGAACAGCGGGGCACTGAAGAAGCGAGCCACACCCCCCATGCACGCCCTGTGAGGGGGACAAGGGAACCTCTCCCATTTCAGAAAGATAAAGGTCACAGAAACTGAAAATTACATGCCTGAGAGTTTTATGAAAAATGTTCAGACCTTCTCAAAAACGTAGTGAAAGGTAAGGAGAAAAGTTATACTATTTCTATCCACTGTGGCCATATCTGGCGCCACAATTTCAATGGCATGAAAATATTAAGGAGCTAGTTTTTCCTGAGGTTAAGCCAGAAGCGAGGGTTCTAATTATATTTAGTAAAGATGATGATGTGGGCAAAACACAGCTGAGGGGACATGATCTTTTCTGGAGCAGGTAATTAAGATAGATTGGGTCAATTAACTGAGTTCAATCGACAGAATAGAAAACATGTGGCTGAAAACTTGGTGGCTTGAAAGCTTCCCCCTCAGTTGGATGCAAAAGTGCTTCGCAGTGAATTTAACATGTCTAATTGCTTCCAGTATTGCCCCTCTTTAATCCATTATTCACACTGTCATCAAAAGAAAGTTTCTGAAATGTTAATATTGCTATGTCTCTTCCTTGATTTCTCATCAATTTCAAGATAAAATAGAAACTCCTTAGCACTACAGAGTCTTATGAACAAACACTATTTCACTAAACCACTCTCTTGGACATCATGATTGTCTAAAATTTTTTTTTACCTCTGAAAATCTTAACTCCAATATCCTCTTTTATAATTAGAACCAATTCTTCCATTTCTCTCTTCCTCAAAAATTCTAAGCTTATATTCTAATTCAATCACTATTTCAGTTCTTAGTCTATCCATTACTCACTACACATCATTTTCTGCTATTAAGCCCCCAATTCAGCTTCTTAACTCTAGCCTTGACCCACTGTGCAAACTGACATCACTACAAATATGTGTTCTTTAATCAGACACAAGCATCCTATTCCTTGCCTTTAATCAGCACCATTTTCCATTCCCTCAGTGGTGTTTCAACTCTCAGAACTCTTCTCAAGCTCCCTACGCCTTCTCACCGAACCCTGCAAAGATGAGCAAAGCCCTCAGGCTCAACTCAACAACAAATTCATCTCTGCTTACCCCTCTCATCTCCTCTCCAGTCTGAACCCAATTCTCTCCCATCTCCTCCAGGACCCTGTTCCATAAATCTCTCCTCTCTTAAATACATTTTTTCACTAAAATAAAGTTTAGTCATTATAATGTGCTCATTGTTGACAATGTGTAAGTTTTTTTCCTACCTTTTCAGCCTCTTTCCCTCCACTGATTCAACCTTGGCCTAAAAACATTTCCCCTAGCAAAAAAATAATCTTCAGTAATGCTAATGATTGCTCATTCTTTTCCTCTTCATTCCAAAGAATGGTCTTCATTCATTGTGTCAGCTTACTTCCTATTTATGCGTCAACCACCTATCCCCAGGTTTCTCCCCATCATTTCCCACTAAAACTGCCAAGCAAAGATGAACACCGACCCCTTTAGGGGCATACCAAATGCAAGAGACATTTTTAGTTCTCATCTTAAATTCTCTCTCTCTCTCTCTCTCTCTCTCTCTCTCTCTCTTTCTCGTGTGTGTGTGTGTGTGTGTGTGTGTGTAGAGAGAGAGAGAGAGAGAGAGAGACAGAGAGAGATCGAGAGAGATTGAGAGATTGGGGGAGGGTGTCTCACTTCCATTGCCTAGGCTGTAGTGCAGAGGCATGATCACTGCTCACTGCAGCCTCAACCTCCTGGGATCAGGTAATTCTCCCACTTCAGCCTCCCGAATAGTTGGGACTACAGGCGCATGCCACCACGCCTGGCTTTATTTTTAGTAGAGACAGGGTTTTACCACATTTCTCAGACTGGTCTTGAACTGCTAGGCACAAGCAATCTGGCAGCCTCAGCCTCCCAAAGTGTTGGGATTACAGGTGTGAGCCACCACACCCAGCCTCTAATATCTGGTATCATATTTCGTAATATTTTTAAATTACCTCTTTTCTTGTTTTCTCTTACAGAATACATTCCTAATCCTTTGTTTACTCAATCACCCAACTCTTTGACGCTTCTCAGGACTCTGTCCTCAGCCATCTTCTCTTTCTCGTCTACCCATTCTTCAGTCATTTCATCCACTTATATAACTGTAACCATCAACTAAACAAAGACAGCTTACAAAACTGGTTATCAGATCTATCTCTTCCCTTAAACTAAATATATCCAAATGCCTATTACATTTCTACCAATATCTATCCCCCAAATCACTTAAGGCACATGTCTAAAACTGAACTCAGATAGCACTAAAGATGATAGTTTGGAGAAGGGAGAGACTTAAAGCAGTTATTCCAATAACATAAAAGGAGAGATCAAAAACAGTGACACCAGCGAATGCTGGTGAGGATGTACAGAAACTGGATCACTTATATGTTGGTGGTAACATGTACAGTGGTACAGCCATTCTGAAAACAATTGGGCTGTTTCTTTAAAAAACTGAATATGCAACTACCATATGACCCAGCAATTGTACTCCAGAGCACTTGTCCTAGACAAATGAAGACTTGTGCTCATAAAAAAAAAACTTTGTGAGTGTATATGCAGCTTTATTCATCATAACCCAAATCTGGAAACAATCCAGATATCCTTCAGTGGGTGAATGGTTAAATAAACATGGTACATCTATACCATGGGATACTACTGAGCAACAAAAAGGAATGATGCGTGCAACAACATTGACGAATCTTCTGAGAATTATGCTGAGGGAAAGAAGCCAATCCCAAAGGATGCATCTTGTTGAACACCATTTATATAACTTTCTTAAAACTAAAAAAATATAGAACGATCTATGGTTGCTAAGGGTTAAAGTGGAGGTGGTGGCAAGGGGGAAGTGGGTGTGACTATAAAAGGGCAATATGAGGAATTCTGATGATGGAAATGTTCTGTAGCTTGACTGTATCAATGTCCATATCCCAGTTGTGATGTTGTACTATAGTTTTACAAGATGTTACTGTTGAAGGAAACTGGAAAAATGGTACATAGGATCTATCTGTATCATTTCTTACAACTTCATGTGAATCTACAATTATATCAAAATAAAAATTTTACCCAAAGTACGTGATTAAAAAGAGCTCATATTCCCATGAAAACTTTGAATGTTTTGGACAGACTCACTGAAGACAAGTTATTCAAATACAACGCCATCAAATTAGGGGTGGCCAAGAAAATAGGAAAGATCAGAAAAAGCCATGAGCTCTCAGATTTTGCTCTCAGATTTCTTGGCAATTGTCTTAAAATGGCTTTCCCTAAACTATAATTTATGTTCAACTTACATATGACTCATTGTTTGAATCATTTTTTTCACTTTGCATAAGGAGAGGATTTCTATACTTATTGATGCCCTCAGCTCGTTTCAGGTAGGATTTGAACCAGTGATATTGTCTTGTATTATCATGGTTTGAAATATGCCTCCCCTCTCTGTGCCTGTTTCCTCATCTGCTTCCAAGAACTGTTGTGGGGACTAGATGAGATAAACCCATGGGATATGTGCAATAAATACATCGTTGTAGTCTATTTAAGAGAAGAGAGGACCTATCGAAAATTGCCAAATCAGACATCATCTCACACATAATAAACAATCCATCAGTACTGGCTGAATAAGTACGTGAATACACGTGAGAGAGAAGGGGTCCAAAACAGGATATCCACAGTAGGCATGAAGGTCAAAAGATATAAGCCATTTCACAGGAAGAATCAACAGTAATTTGTGATGGGTTAGGTATAAAAGGTAACTAAGGTAAGTCAAGAACAATTTTAAAGTTTCAAGCTTTTATGACCTATGGAAGTCATTAACGAGGGAAAACATAACTAGATTTTGGAGGAAAGATGAGTTAGCCTTTGGATGTGTTGAACTAGAAGTGCTTATAGTTTACATGGCTAGAGATTTCCAGTGAACAACTCATCAATGAGCTGAGTGAGGAGGCAGGAAGCTGTGGCCAGTGGAAGAGGAAGAAATAAAGGGATGGAGTTAAGAGAGCTGTAAGTCTTATGTGCACATAGGGCAGTTGACATCATAGAAGTGGATGGCATTACTCTAGAAATAAAGCATACAGAATAACTGGCATGATTACAGCTCAAATTACAGCAAGTAAATTTTACTCCAAGCGCTGATACTGTGGACTTTTTTGAGATTTAACATTTTAGTCATCTAAATGGAATATCACACAGCTGTCCTCCCCATCTGTTGGCAGCCGCTCATCTGTTGGTGTGTGTTAACAAGCTTGAATCTAATCCATAAAGAGAAAATGAGAGTTAAAAACCAACACTTAAAAATCCTATCTGTAAGTTTAATAATGCATCTCTTAAATACTATAAAGTTTATCATTAAAAACCTCTGCTCCAAGTGTCTATACTGAGCAGCCGGGTGAGTGGCTTACACCCGGAATTCTAGCACTTTGGGAGACCAAGGCAGGTGGATCACTTGAGGTCATGGGTTCAAGACCAGCCTAGTCAACATGGTGAAACCCCGTCTCTACTAAAAATTCAAAAACTTAGCCAGGTGTGGGGACACATGCCTATAATCCCAACTACTTGGGAGGCTGAGGCAGGAGAACCACTTGAACCCAGAAGGCAGAGATTGCGGTTAGCTGAGATCATGCCACTGGGCTCCAGCCTAAGTGACAGAGTGAGATGCTGTCTCAAAAAAAAAAAAAAAAAAAAAAGTCTATACTGGCAGAGGTCTATATCATAAGCACGTGAAATACAGCTGCTTGTATGCCCAAGGGATTGGTTCCAAGACATCCATGTATACCCAAATCCGTGTATACTCAAGTCCTCTAGTCAGCCCTGCAGAACCCCAGGATACAAAAAGTCAAGCCTCCTTTATATTTGGATTCCATATCCTGCGAAAATTGTATTTTCTATTGGCATTTGGTTGAAATTACATGTTAAGTGGACCTGCGCAGTTCAAATCCATGTTGTTCAAGAGTCAGCTGTAAATGTGAGAGAGTATACATACACACATATATATATATGAATTTATATATATAATATAGAGAGAATATAAAATACATAGAAATTGTTGAGGAATTTTTAAAAAACAAAAAATCAGTGATACATAAGCTAAAGTAATAGGAGTTACAGCAGTGTTACAAAGTTTCTAAACAGAAGCTAGCAACTTTCTTCTCCAGAGGCTACAATGATAGCAGTGTTGGGAAAGGATGCAAGGTACAAATAGTAGTATTAACTAGGACAGAAGAAAAAATATTTACTTTCAAGTAAATTTGTCTTCAAGATGTTTCTTCATCTCCTCGGGCTTTCCACTTTTCATATTGAAAAAGAGGCTATCCTCTTCCTCAGCTTCAGGACCTCTTGAGAAACTATGACTTAAGACAACCTCAACTGAATGGTTCGTATAGTTCACAAAGTGTCTACTTTGCCATAGTGCACCAAAAGCATATGAGTGAGACAGCAGTGGAAAATATGTTAACAGCTGCAGCACTAGAGAGCTAAAGGAGATACTGCAGAGAATGTTGCACTGTATTTGGACTTGAGAGAGCTAACTCTAACTCAGCACTTCTGATAATGGCCTTAGAAAGTCAATCTCCAAGAGTTTCCATTTTCTTATCCCCTAAAACAATATCCACCTCACCAGGGCCACTGTCAGGAAAAAATAAGCTTACACATATGGGCCAGGCCTGGTGGCTCATGCTTATAATCCCAGCAATTTGGAAGGCTGAAGCTGGTGGATCGCTTGAGCCCAGGAATTCAAGACCCGCCTGGGCAACATAGTGAAACCTCATCTCTAAAAAACCCCCCAAACAGCTGGGCATGGTAGCTCATGTCTGTAACCCTAGCTCTTTGGGAGGCTGAGGTAGATGGATCAGTTGAGGTCAGGAGTTCAAGACCAGCCTGGCCAACATGGCGAAACCCCATCGCTACTAAAAATACAAAAACTTAGCTGAGCATGGTGGTGCATGCCTGTAATCCCAGCTACTTGAGAGGCTGTGACAGAATTGCACAAACCCAGGAGGCAGAGGTTGCAGTGAGCCAAGATCACACCACTGCACTCCAGCCTGGGTGACAGAGCAAGACTCTGTCTCAAAAAAAATGAAAACAAAAACAATTTCCCAAAAATTAACTGGGTGTGGTAGTGTGCACCTGTAATCCTAGCTACACAGGAGGCTGGGGCAGGAGGATCACTTGAGCCCAGGAGGTCAAGGCTGCAGTGAGCCATGATCACACTA